CGAGGTAGAGCTTGCCTGGCGACACGAGCGCTGCGCCGGCCGTGAGCGGCGACAAGAGCATGATAGGTGCGAGGGCTCGAAATGTGTACGGAAGAGGCTGCCAGCCGGGAGCGGCGAGCTGGGAGCCTATTCACAGAGTGCTCACGGGTATTTTTTCGCTTCGCTGCGCGGCCTGGGAATAGGTAGGTAGGTGGGGCACGGAGCCTGGCGATTGGCGCCCGCAATAGGTAGGTAGGTAGGGCGTTTTGGTTGTGCGAGACGGACCGCGCGCGCGCGCATGCATTGCAGGGCCGCGGGCCGCGGTGGAGTGCACTTGAAAAGCTCACCCGAGCTTCAAGTGCATTCCAGCTGAGAGCTGTCACTCGCGACGCTCAAGCAAACGTGCATGCTTACTATGCTTACTACTATGCTTACTTACTTACTTACTTACTTACTTAAACGTGCATGCAGGTCGTACTCGTGGAGCATGCGCTGTTTGCCAATCCTCCCGATGCGCTGCCAGTCAGGATCCGAGCGGATCTCCTCGGCTGTGAACCAAGAGGTGTGGTTCAGATCCCCTGTGGCGCCTCCCGCCCACTTCGGGTTGCGCGAGGGCGCACCCTCAGGCATCCCTCCCGAGAACGAGACGCCGCCCCGTCGCGCCAAAGACTGGTCCACCATCTTCTTGAAGCGCGTGTACCCCAGTCGTACGAATGCGTCCAGCGCCAACGGGTCCTCCGTAGAGATGTACCTCGGAAGCTGCTGCTTGCGCAAGGACGTGAGGCTATGGATACACCACTTGTCCGCCCCCTCGATGTCGATCTTGGGGTAGAGGGGCACGCCATACTTACGTATCAAGGCGGCGCACGTGACCGTGGGCACTTGCAACGGGGTGAATTGATCGAGTCTTTTACTGGCCGAGTCCATGAACGTGCTCCAAGCGGAGACTGTCTTGTGCACGTAGACCGTGAGCGTGCGATTGTGCTCGTTTCGAACGATGCCCGCGTTCACCAAGTGGAGCTGCTCTGAGCGCGCAGCAAGTGCGATGCTCGGACGGCGCATGCCCTCGCTGATGAGCACGTGATTCGCTTCGACAGCCACCACGTCGAATCCCTGAGAGAGGAAGAACAAAGTATCGTCGCCGGTGTGGAAGCCGATATCAAACACAAAGCGTCCTCGACGACGAGCCACAGCGGGCTCGCCATGGACGTAGTCGTTGCACTTTGCGGCCATCCACGCTTTCGCCGCCGCCCTGGCAGCAGCCTTGCCTTCGGCACCCTGGACGTGGATGCGACGGCACTCGTCAACGCCGGGCGCCTGAAGCCACCAGCGCGGCTTTGCCTTCAACGTCGCCCACTCTGCATCCCCGCTGACGGCGAGCGCAAAGCACAGAGGGAGCCGACGGCAGAGCTGCTTTGCATTATTGCAGCTCTCACTCGATCTGAAGGAGGTCGACCACCGTGAGTGCTGGTGGCATCGCACTCGGCAGCAGCATTCGGAATCTTGATTGTTCGCTATCATCTGGGGGCTACTCTCGTCGCCGGCGGGGCATCGAAAGTCAATCGCGCCGTATGCAAGGCTCTCCTCACCGGCAGGCAAAGTGAGTGGGGCTGCGGCGGTGCCCACGATACCCAGAGCGAGAACGGAAGCAAACGATCTAGACATATTGTGTGTGAGTCAGCCGACGAGGGTTGAGAGTTAGCGGCGAAGTGCGCACGCACGCAGCTCGACACCACAGGAGAGGCGGCGCAGACTATAGTCGAGCGCGTCGGAGAGGTGTTTGCTAACTTTTACTCTGAAATTAGCGACCCGGCCAAACCGACGCCCTCGCAGTCAATGCGACCCCAGACGCGACTCGGCTAACAAACCCACGACACACACCGCCTCACATTGACAGCCAAGGTCCTCCCCGCATCACGCGATCACGTCACGGCCTGTCGTGCACCGCCATGTCCTCACCGCCTTCCGACGTCCCAACTCAACCACACGCAAACCGCGACACTTACACACGACCCAAGGGCAACACCACACGCATGTCGTGCACGGCCAGATCCGTGCGCAAGGAGCATGTTTGCACCTTGTCGGAGCTCGTCTTGATCGAGAGCGCAAGAGCCACTTGCATGTCGTGCCTGGCTACAGTAATGCGTGTAAGGCTGAGTGGCGTGTGAGCTCGAGGTGCGTCCGGTGTTGTACGGTGCGCGTGTGACGTCTGCTGAAATGGCGGTTCCGCTTGCCCCTGTGCGGCTTGGCCCACGACAACTGTGTGTACGGAGTTGGAACAAGCAAGTGCTCTTGCTCTTGCTGTATGCTGAAGTGGCTGCGCCCCGTAAACGAACATCTTGTCATCATCAGTTCATCACTTCATCAGTGATCCCATGGAGCCCTTAGCTCATGCGACGGCGTCGCCCCGACGTGCTTGCTCGTCTATGGAAGTACGCCCGCCGGCGTCGCGGCGGCGCTGTGCGCGCCAGCCTACGCTACACTGTGGTGCCGTGCTGGACTGCTGGTGTCGCCTTCTCGGTACGGTAATGTCGGTGGCATGAGCTCTCGCTTTTGTGCCTCCCTCGGCTCTCCCCACACAGAGAGGTTTTGGTGTGAAGATTCCTTAGTGTGCGAGATGCCTTCGACGCACGCGACGAGAAGAATGCTCAGTCCACTGCTGGCACTGCTGCTAAGTCACGGCAGCCCCCCTACAAAACTGTGCCAGAGCCCCTGCTGCTCGACTGAGCGGCGGAGCCGGCCCGTCGCGGCCGAGAGGCGGTGCGCCGACACCGGGGCTACGGCTCGGGACCGTTTCCAGGCTCTCTCGAGCAACCTCAAATTTTGATGATTTCATGACCGCCACTTTGCTGCACACTTTGACCTAAACCCGCGGCCCGCTGCGCGGCTCTCCGAGCGCGAGAGGAGTCGTCTACGAGGCGGCGGCGAGCGCAGGCGGCGGCGGCGCGGCGGCGCGGCGGCGGATCGCGGCGCAGACAACGGCAGGAATCTGCGGCAGGCTGCTGTCTGCTGCTACAACAGCTGCTGCTGCTGCTGCTACTCCGCCGCTGCCGATTGTGGACACGATTCCCCCGATCACCCCGCCCGCCCGCTCCGCCCCGCCCGCCCGCCTCTCCCCGCTTGCCCGCCCGCCCGCCCGCCCGACCGACCGACCGACCGACCGCCCATTCCCATCACCATCTCACATACCTTCATAGGCGCTCGAGACCTCCTCTCGCTGCCTACTCGCTGCCTCGAGGGAGGATGGGATTACGTAGGGCTGCATGCGCGCGCGCCTTTCCCGAGGCCCCTCCCCGAAAGGCAAGTATTAGCCACACGAAATCCGAGACCCCTCCCCCACCGCCCCGATCCCCCCACCCCCTTGCTCCCCTCCCCCCCTCGGGAGGGCCGAACTGAGGCGCCCGTGGGGACCCCGCAATTCCCTTCCCCCCTCGGAGGGCCGGACAGAGGCATCGAGGGCCCCGCTCCTTTCCTCGCATAGCGGCCACTCTTCGGATCGCTGGTCGAGCGACCCGGGGGATGCCCCGCGCGCCTGACCCAGGCGCGGAAACGAATCTGCGAGGCGTGGCCGCTTATGCGGCCCGATGGGGAGGAGGGGAAGACGTAGGGCGTGCTTGCGCGCCTTTCCGAGGCCCCTCCAACCCACCCGCGCTAGGTCTCGGGTTTGACGCATGGGGTCACTCCCGCGAAACTCGGGAACTAGCCGGGGCAGTCGGAGAAGTGGCAACTCCGTGCACTGACGGTCGGCCGTCAGAAAACACGCCTCCGTGGCTCGGGTTACACCAATCCTCGCTACCCAACGCGGCCAAAGGATATCCACCTCGAGAACCTCGAGAACCTCGAGAGCCCCCCTATCTGGGTAGGAGCCGGAACCCTCTGAGCCTGGGTTCGGACTTTTTGCGGGGTATGGTATGGTACTCTCGCGCAACCCACCTCGAGACCATACCCCCCCCGCCTGCTGACAGACCCAGCCTCCCGGAGACCGGGGATGGGCGGTCAGGACCATACCCCCCCACCCTTTGGGCCGCGAGCTACCATACCATACCCCGCAAAAAGTTGGAACCCTGGGGACGGCAGGGCAAGCTCTACCTGGCGGCATGAGCGCGGCAAGGGCCGGAGGCAAGGTGATGTGCTGGCTCGTCGCCAGCGGATTGGTGCTTGCGAGCTTGGGTGGTGGCGCACAGAGGAGCCAGCTAGTTCCTCATGAGATCGCGGAAGCTGCAGGGTTAGGGGTTGAGGCGGCGGTGCGGGCGTGGCTCGACGGTGGCGGTCAGGTTGACGCGACATGCGATGAACGGGCAGCATCAGCCTCCCTAGCAACTGCACGGTTGGACGCGAGGGGGGGTGTGAGCGGCCTCACGCTTCTGGTGGCCGCTGCTCGCTTTGGCCAAGAGCGGGTTCTCGAGATGCTGCTTCAGCGCGGCGCGAGGGTCAACCAGAGGTGGGGGAAGCGCCGCACCGCGCTGATGGGCGCCGCCGAGTTCAACGAAGTCGCCGCCGTGCGCCGCCTGCTGCGGGCGGGCGCAGAACCGCGGGCGCGCGATGCCGAGGGTAATACGGCGCTGCAGATAGCTCAGAACCACGGCCACACGGAGGTTGTACAGGCCATCAAACGGTCGATTGAACATTCTGCTCCGAGCGACAAGGCGCGGCCTGACGGAGAGTCTTCACGACGGCGCGTCGTAGAGGTGGACGAATGGGTGACGTGGGCGGCCGACGTGTCCGTGGCGCTGTGTGCAGCCGTGTCTGTGGTCCTTGGGTTCATCTGCATTTGCATGCCGCAGTGCTACATGCGCGACACACAAAGAGGGGGCAACTCCCGCGCTCGCGCTCGACGCCAGCGGCGGACCTGGTGGAGGACATCGCTGGAGCACGCCAGGACGCTTGTGACTTCCGGCGTGCAGCTGCTCGCGCATCCATTCCTGATCGGCATCCGCGACTCATTTGCGCTGGCGGTGGCAACGTGGGCGTTGGTCGCGTTGGCGGCGTGCACAGCGTGGGGACACAATGCAGAAGGATGGCGAGGGAGCGTGCAGACGGTGGCGGTGGGGGCTACAAGGTTTGGCCTTTCCTTGTCGGTGGCTGTTGTGGCAGTGGCTGCGTGGGCGAAGGGGGCTGCTGCGGCCAAAGGGCTCTGGTCTTGGGCAAGTCTCCGACAATGGGCTCCTAGTTGTCAGGAGCCGGCACACGGCTCGTCACGGCGCGGGCGGGCACAGAAGCGGGCAAGGAAGCAGGCAGTCGAGGCAGGAGGTGCGCAGCGCGCGGCGGTTGCGATGCCAGCGGCACAGCGGGCGAGGGAGGACGCCAGCAAGGCGGTGGAGCCGCGGGCTGTGCAGCCAAGCGAGCTACTCGAACCTGAGGTGAGGATTCAGGAGCGGGGTGCTCTGTCGACGTTGCCGGAGCAGGCTGCCTTGCCGGAGCAGGCGGCCTCCCCGGCCTCCCCGGCCTCGGAAAAGGTAATCGAAGACAGCGAGCCGGGTGCGCCTTACAACGACGCACTTGTGAATGACTCGCCAGCGCTCGATTCGCCGCCGCCGATTGGGGTGGTCTCTCTGGCTGACGCACACTTTGAGACGGGCCGCATGGTCCCCGAGTCCACGATGGGAGGCGAGACCACGTGTATCGTCTGCTTCACCCGGCCAAAGACGCACGTCGCGGTCCCCTGCGGCCACCACTGTGCTTGCGGTCCCTGCTCCGAGCGCATGCAAGACGCGTGCCCTTATTGTCGCGGGCCGGTCGTGATGTGGATGACCTACAGGCCTGTGTAGGGCACCGCGCCGTCTCTGATCTGAACTCTGCATGTCAGCGGCTTGTGTGCATTGCGAGGCGAGAACAGGGGAGAGGATGTCGGGGAGTGGGCCTCCTACCGCCGCTCAAGACGAGAGAATGCATGTTGCTCGACAAGGCGGGTGATGCTCGACAAGGCCAAGCCGGCTCAGCTCTTTGGCATCCCGCGGGAGGTGCTCATCGCATATAATAACGGCGGGCTCGACGCCAAGATTGCCAACGCGCGCCGGCCAGGCGACATGGACAAGCTCGTCTGGGAGCGCACGATGCTGCACCTTGAGATAGCCAGGCTCGCGCACCAGGCCGCGCAGACGTACTGCGTGGGCAAAGACCTCAGCGCCGCGGTCAACCCGTTCGAGGGGGAGAGGATCCGCATGGCAAACGAGTGGCTGTCGGCGCTGATGGGCGGGCCGCTGCCCGAGCGCCTCAACTTCGCCGAGACGGTCCGTCGCCTAGCCATCCCCACGTAGCTATAGCCACAGACGCTGCCACCGCCCGCTCCTCCCACCGACCGCGCCGCACATCTTGACTGCACACCACCGTAGGTGAAGGCGTTGTGCAGCCACGAGCGCTCTCTCACCGGCTCGACGTACGACTTCTACTGCCGCGATGCGCTGCCCACGTACGCGCGCGACACCGAGGATCTCCTCTCCTTCCTCTCCGTGCGCATGCTGACGGCACCGTCAATGGCGACTCCTACCCCAAGTGGATGGGCATCTTGCCGTCGATCTTTGAGAACGGCGTCATTGGCGTCACCTACACCGCCGCCGCCGGCGGGCGGGAAGCACCGGAGGGCGACGCGGCGGCGGAGGCGGCGGCGGCGGAGGAGGAGGGGGAGGACAGGGAGGAGGTAGACGAGGACGCGGAGGCGACGGCGACGGCGCCCAAGAAGCAGCGCACCGAGAAGCTGGTCGAGCTCTCGAAGGCGGACCTTGAGAAGACGGCCTTCCTCGGCACCACTGACTCGCACCGCGGCGTGCTCATCAAGAGTGCGGACACTGGCTTGTGGGCGGAGGACCCGCAGATCATCGCGACGCTGCGGGGATGGTCGGTCACCAACGTCAAGGCGGCGCCAGGGGTTTGCTTTGGCGTCCGTGATATTTATCCGTGTTTGGTTCTACGAACATACCGAGGGTGAACTGCTGACAGGTTTGCGATGAGGAGCGATCCGAACGTGGCATTCGGTTTATATTGAAAACAATCAAGGCTAGTTCCATTTCACACTCTGACACGCTAATCTTGAAAACGTCCAACGGAGCTCCGTGTTGCTCCCAGCGCCCTCCCCCGCGCTTCCTGCGGCCATGGCCGATGATACTAGTATGAGAGGTCATCTGGCTACCGCGAGCGCGACTCAACTCGCCGACGTCGTCCGATGATTGTGCCTCAAAGTCAGCCTCCGGAGGCTATCGTGGGGTCGAGCCGGCAGTAGCCGTGACATGTGGTTCCACCACCCCTCGTATGCTTTGCCTCTGACCGCCACCGTTCCCAGGCTGCCAAATGGGATGGAAAGGAAGGCTCGGCGAGCGTATAGAAGCGTGCTCGACCTCGTCGTGGCAACCTGCACGGCAGCGCTGGTAGGCGCGATGAGCGTCGTGCCACCTGACCCGAGACGGGTCGCAGGCGTCGTACCGAGCGCGTCGAGACCGTGTCCTGATGTGATCTGCACGGGTGAGTCACGTCGGCGTCAAAGGAGCGACGTGCGACCTGTCAGAGCTTGATCTCCGATCTCAGCGGCGTCGAGTCGTCTCCGGCGCGCGACAAAGGTACATCCCCAGGACGCGCAGAGGCAGAA